TAGGAGTAGTAGGAGTAATAATGACCATATTTTAAACAATACTAGTATTCATAATAATAATACCAATATTAGTGGTACGTCGTAGTAGCAGTAATTTTAGTAGTAGTAATAGTAGTAGTTGTAGTAGTAGTAGTACTACTACTACTGGTAGAACTACTAGTAGAAGTAGAAATAGAAGTGTAAGTAGTAGTAGTAGCAGTAGTAGTAGAAGTTGTAGTCGCAGTCGTAGTAGTAGTCGTAATACTAGTAGTAGTAGTAGTAGTAGTAGTAGTAGTAGTAGTAGTAGTCGTAGTAGTAGTAGTAGTAGTAGTCGTAGTAGTAGTAGTAGTGGTAGTGATACTAATCGTAATCAAAGTAATGGTCGTAGTAATCGTAGTAGAAGTGGTCGTAGTACTACCAGTAGTAGACTCGTAGCAGCTTAGCGCGGTGCCACGCAGATCGGAGTGGGACTTCGTCATCGCTGGGGGGCTGCGAACTGCGAGACTGTCGCCGCTTTCGAAGTTTGCTAGGTGCCCTAATGGAGTGTTACGCAACGGCCAAGTGCCAAGGTGCCAGGCTAACGCTCCTGGCCGCTCGATGCGTTGTCGTCGCTGCACCGGAAAAGGGGGTTCTTAATCGCCCCTCCCTCGTTATCGCCCGCCGAGTGCGCCTGCCTCTCTGAGCGAGCGGGCGCCCCTTCAGCGGCGGCAGGGTCGAGGGCGCGCGTTCGCGAGGCTCTTCGCGCCTCTGGCGGCAGAGACGCAGTCTCCGCGCCTTCGGCGCATAATGGAATTGACTCGCGTCACGAACCACTGGCCGGACAGCCCCCCCCACCCCCCCGCGCCGCGCCCGCCCGCCGCCCACTGCCCGCGGCGGCATCGGCATGCGGCGCAGGGAAGAGGAGGAGCAGGGAAACGTGGGCGGCTCGACCACGCGTAGCGCAGGCGTCGCGGTCTCCGCCTGGCCCGCCGCCTCGCCATGCATCGTGGCGTCGGGCGGCGCGGCGTGGTCAGCTAGTCTGCGGGTCGCCGCCGCGTGCTGCAACTGGCGCGCTCGCTGCCGCGCCAGGCGCGGCCCCTCCGCCGCCTCCGCGTCGGCGCCGCCGGTCGGCGCGGCAGCCGCCTGGGGCGGCTCGGCCAGGCGCGGGTCTTTGGCAGCCCTCCCGGCAGATATGCCCTCCTTCATTTCTGTGTCGCCCGCGCTGAGGTCGGTCCCCGCCCCCTCCGGCAGCCGCGCGGCGAGCCTCTGCGCCCTGGGTCGCTCGCGCCTCGACTGCGCCCCTGGCGGCTCTCCGCGGGCGTCGCCCCCCGCGGGGCGTTGCAGCAGCAGCTGCGCTGCGTGGCTAGGCCGGGGGCAGGGACTGCGGGGCGCTTCCCCGCGCCGTTGCCAATGCGGCCTGGGGGCGTCGACCGCCCCTCTCGGCCCCTTCTCGCTGGCCCGCGGGTGCATCGGCCGACCCTCTCTTGAGGCCCCGAAGAATGTGCCGCGGGGCCATGTGCCGCCCTCGAGGGCCCCGCCTGACATGCTGCGGCGTGGCCGAGAGCGGGCATCGGCCACCCTTCCATCGAGGGCCCCGCATCCGAATGACGCGGGGGCATCGACTACCCCCCCTTCCAGGGCGCCGCTTCTCCTGCAGCCGTCGACGCGCGCGGGGGCGTCGGCCGCTCTTTCTCTGAAGGCTCCGTCGCGTTTCTCCGTTGCCTTGCCCAGGCTGGCCGCGGCGCACCCTGGCGGCCCCCCACTGGCAATGGCGCCCCCTTGCCGCCGCCGCCCCATGCTGGACGGGGAAGTCCGCGGGGCCCGCGCTCCCACTGACGCCGCCGGATCCCACCCCCGCGGCCCTCAGGAGCTCCGCTCCTGGCGCTGGTGCTGCCTGGTCGTTCGACCAGGCGCCGCAGCGAGCGGCCTCTTCACTTGGGTGGGTTGGTGTGGCCTGCGCCCCCGCGGCGTTCCTCCACGGGAACTGGGTCGCGTCGTTGGTGCTACGTGCCGTCGCATTTCGGGGCAATGATGCGGGCGCCCCCAACGCCTGGCCCGCCGGCCCCAGTGCGCGGTGGTCCTCTGTCTGGAACTGGCTGCCGGGAAGCTCGAACTCGACGGCGCTGTACTCGCCGAGGCTCTCGAAGTCCGCGTCGTGCTCGTCCAGCGCGCCTCCCCACCTGTCGCCCCGAGACCCCTTGGAGCTGTCAACCAGGAGCCCGTTGTCGCTGCTGTCGCTCAGGTCGTCGCTTTCCTCGCCAGCAGGGTGGCCAGCTTGCGTAGGGCTGCCAAGGTGTCTCCCATCACCACCAAGAGCTGCATCAGGGCGGCCAAGGTTGGGCGGCGCACCCGGCGCCCCTATTACCGCTGTCAGCCAACAAGCCACAGGTGAAGGAAGTTTTTCGCTGGAAATACACCCACCCACCGTGGCCACTGTGGAAACCACCCCGCCCGCCACAGTAGCGTCTGGTTCCAGCCCTACGCAGCGGCCCTGACCTGCAGAGTTCCCCATCGGGGCGCCAACAGGATTCGAGCTTGAAGCCTTCCCCTGGTATTGGGGTCCCCTCAATACTTTGCACTCCAAGGCCGTAACTGCCTCCCTTCTGCGTTGGGGGCATCGGCCGTCCCTCCTCAGAGGGCCACACTTGCTGTCGCATGCGCGGGGGCATCGACCACCGATCCTTGGAGGGCTCCGCCGCCGACCAAACTGGGTGCATGGGCCATTCCTCTCTGAAGGGCCCCGAATTAGGGAAACGAGCTCTATACACCGACGCCTTTTCCGACCCTGCACTGCAATTCGCACAGGAACGCGGATTCTGGTGTACACGGGATCCTGATGCATCATGTTTCGTTGTTTCCCCGCGAAAGCGGGGAACAATTATACACCAGACCGCCCCGACGTCGTCCCCGACCCTCGAAAAGTCGTGGGACTGAAAGACGGCCCGCCACTGGTCATGTATATGTTCCAGTTTCCGGCGAATGGCTCCATGACTCTGGCTCGCTTGATCCTGCGACCGTCTGCCCGCACTGGTCCTCTCGGGTTGGCGTGTCCTGGCCCGTCGGGCCTGCTCATGCCCGTGCCGAGACTGACCTGCGCGCGTCACAGCACTGGTGCCGTCCTCCTCGTGCCGGGGTGGCGCCTCTGGCGCTGCGCTGCTCTGCGGTGCCACTGGCGCCGCGATGCTCGCGCTGCTGACACTGGCGCCAGCTGGGGCTGCTGGTTGGCGCGGTGGTCCCCGAGGCGCCACTCCTGGCATCCAAGGGGGCCTTGCCCTGCGCATCCCGACGACTTCCACCCCAGCCTTCACGGTCCACGTTCGGCCCAGGGATGCCATCTGCAGTGCGGTTCTGGAGCATCGCCGCGATCTGCCCCGTGAGGTCCGCCAGCGGTCCCAGTGCGCCGTCTGACGTTGCTCCCCGTGTAATGATTCCAGTCCTCGAGGCTCGCCGCGTACAGTCGGGTTGCTGACAGACGGAACGATAAACAAGGAACGAAGCCCCTTTTTGGCCCCACAAGCGCCTGCGTGCACGAGGCAGGCTAGAGGAAAAAAGCCATATAAGGACCCAAGGAACATCGAGCCCCTTTCTGACCCAAACCGATCCTTGCTTCAACGACTTGGCTGTAGTTGACGAGGGACCTGCGGCGATCCCTGCTTCGCCACCAGGCCGCGCTGGCCAGGCTTGCTCCTGCTGGTGGTGATGCTGCTGGGACAGGGCGCGAGACGATCCAGCGCCGCCACGCACCCTCGCCGTGGTCGGGCGCGGCGACGTCGATCCTCCGAGGAGCCTTTGAAAGAAGCGCGGGGTGGCCCTCGCCTCTCTGGGCGCCTCGAGCTCCTCCGCGGGGCTCTTCGAGCGCCGTTTTGGGCGTCTCTAGGCGTGGTCTTGTGCCCTCGAGGGCCTTCCTTGGCTGTAATTGGAGCGGTGTTGGGGTCCCTTTTCGGGCCATCTTGGGATAATCTTGGGTGCCTCCTGGGCCATCTCATCTCGGAGGCTCTGAAGACAAAGACAACGAGCACGCCGCTAAAATCAATGGAAAGCCATTGGGACATCAATGATTTTCACCTCTAGGAGACCTCTTGGAATCTCTCGTGGAGCGTTCTTGGCGCGTCCTGGTCTGTCTTGGTGGCATGTAGAAGCGATTTGTGCACCATTTTGGATCGTCTGCTACGGCATGCCTTGTCCATATTGGTGGTATCCTGGCGCCGTTCGGATGTCGAAGTCGTGACTTCGACTGTTCAACCTCCCAGAACTGCGAAAAAGAGCTGGGACACATGGGAAACAAATTTGATAGCTATACGGGGTGGCTCCATTTTTCATTGTGTGCCGGCGGGGGGGCCAGGGCGAAAGGGCGCAAACTCAAAGACGACACCCATCGCCGACAAAGGCGAACGTATAAAAAAGTGGGGACGACACAAACATAAAAGGGAGACGCATCCTTAGACACCTCGAGGGTCCAAAGACGGTGCGCACAGCAACTGTACAACCGCAACCCAACAGAACCGACAACGAAACCTGAACTGCCCGAATCTGACAGACGGCAGGCGGCCCCAAATGGCGTAGCGACGCAGCAACGACACGACCGAACGCAATCGACTGCGACGCAGCTCACCCGACCGAACCGCGGACCCTCGGAGCCAGCCCCGCGCGGAACCAGCTGAGCATCGCCTCAGAGCGATTGCACACCACGCCCAACTACGCCGCGACTCTGACCCGACTTGCCGCGCCGGGGCCGAGCGAGCTCTGGCAACGAAGCGGCGACGGAGGGAACACCGGAGCGACCCATGCCAGCACACCGCACGCCACAGGAGTCGGGCGGCGCGGCGTGGAGGGACCGAGGGCCGAGGCAGCGCCGAGAAGGCCGGGAGGAGAGAGGGAGCGGGTCTGGGGGGGAGAAGGGCGGAAGCATGGAGGAAAGAAGACGCAATTCCAGCGCAGGCGTGGCGCGATTCAGTGGGGCGAGGAGGGGTGCGAAGTATAGGAGGGTGAGGATGACGGCGACGACGAGAAGGACAGGACACGAAGCAAGGAGTGCGGAGGATTGGCCAAAAGAGGGCAAAGAAGAGGAGGATCAAGATGAAGACGACATCGATTTTACCTCTGAGGCGCAAATGCAGTCTGCTGAGCCGTGACAGTACGACGACGATCGCTCTCTCGGAAACGAATGCTTGCGGACGCTCGTAAGTGAAACGTATGACGCCGAACAAAGTTTGAAACAACTGATAAAGTGAGTGGTCGCTCTCGGTATGGAGTGCCCCAAAACAGCACTCTGCCATCGCCACCACAATCTGGTTGGGAGCGCTCTGGGCCCGTTCCGCTTGGGGCGCCAGGGGCCCACGGGCAGACAGGCGACGCACAAGGATCCACCAGCGAATCAGGCATCTGGATCCCTCCTGCAGCTCAAGTCGAGGAACAAACACCTGCATGGACACAAGCTTTGGGAGGACCAGGAGCGGTGCTGGACCCCTTCCCCTGGCGCGCGGAGGCATCCAGGAGCGGTGCTGGAGGCGCCGCCGTGTGGGGATGCCAGCGCCGACCAAGAAACCCGCGCTCGCCCCCGAAAGATTCTGCTCGTGCAGATCTGTGGTCCTCAGGGAGGTGCCATCGGTGCGCGGCAAACGCTACCGCAGCCCGAGCACGGGGAAGCACCCGCTGGGAAGCGTACGACGTCTTTCGGGAGAGCAAAAGGTACCGATACCGCTACTCCCCAGACCTCTCCCGGGGTGCGTTCTGACCAGAATTTCGAGGCGAACCCAGCGGTGGCGACGAAGGCCTCCCAGGAAGCCCCAAAAGGGGAAACCGGCCGAAGGGTAGCGGTATGAGTGCCTTTTCCTCCTGTGAGCCTTGCGCGAAACGCGCTCGCGTGGCCCCCCTCGCGTGGCGGGGCGGCCCCATCGGACGCCCGCCAAGAGGAAAAAATGGTGCGGGGGGGCATGAGGCAGGCGGCCGCCCCAGACAGCCTCGCCTTGGTGAAAAGTCACGGCGGGCAAGTCTTACGTCGGGTGTGTCCTACCACAGGGAGGGAGATTCAAAAATAGTAAAAAATCAATAGTCTGGGGAGTACTATCTTTAAACACGATTTTTTCGGACCATATGAGGGTATTGTGTTGCATCTGTTTATTTACGTCCAAAATCCCCCTGTAGGAGGACAGGCCCGACTGAAGTCAAGTCTTGGCAATCTAATCTTGGCAATATTCATCCTCCGCGGGCCCTCACCCAAGCCCCGGGGCCGGCAACAAACAACTTGGGATGAGAAGCCAGTCCCGTGGAAGGGAGGTCCCACCCGTGTTTTTTCACGGCTCCAAAGAGGCGCATATATCCCGAGCAAGTCGGTTGTTGATCCCAGGGCCTGGTGAGGGCCCTGGCAGAACGAAGATGGCACAAACTTGTCCGTCGCGACTTCTTCACGACGCGACGAGGTCAGGGGACGAAAGAGCCCTTTGTTATTCCTGATGACGCCCGTGACCGGCCCCACGTTACGATTCGCGCCGGCGCCGTCTGGGAATTAATGAGCCATTCTTAAACATTCCCAGACAGCACCGGCACGAATCGTAACGTGACCCGCCCCCTCCGCCCCTACCCCCGTGGTCACGACCGTTATCGCAAGAGAATAAAAACGGTCTCAATGTGACGCAAAGAGCCACGCGCAGTCGGCGGCTGGTCGGCGGCGCGCACAGGGGGGTGGGGGGAGGGGGGAAGGCTTCTTCGAAGGAGGCTGCTTCTTAGCAGGCGCGGGCCTTACATCTATAGATAAGGCCCGCGCCTTCAAAGAGCTGGGGGTGCATCTGAGAAGCCTTCCCCCCTCAACCCTACCGCCCATTGCGCGTGGCCGAGCTGGGGTGGCGCAAAGCGCCACGCGCAGTCAGCGAGGCTCGAAGGCCGCGCGCGCGACTTTCGACATACGCGGTTCGCGAGCGAGCGCTTGAAGGCCGTCCGCGCGGCCAACCCGCCGCCCGGCAGCTCTAGGGGCGCGGCCGCTGCCGCCTGCGCCGGAGGCCGGTTCAGTACAGGCAGAGGATGCAGTTCTGCATCGGGACCAGGGAGGGCAAGTGAAGGGCGATGTCAAAGGAAGAGACCGCTGCATGAACATACACTTTCGGAGCTCCGCGCGGAATTTTTGGATCTGCGCTGATATCCCCTGCATGGCGCGCGAAGCGCGCCACGGTCGGCGTCAGAGGCGCGGCCAGGGGGCCCAGCGCAGGTCCAAGGAACCCGCGCGGGGCTCCGAACGTGTATGGCATGCAATTGTTTCCCCTTCGCGATGTTCTCCTCGAATCCCTGCACATATGCTGGGGTTACCTCCAAAGCCTTGCCCGGCATGCCAGCACTGGGCATTTCCTGGTTGTGGAACTTCTGGTAGACGGCCTCCGCGGCCGTGGACTCCCTGAAGTTCACGAAGGCGATGGACCTGTTCTTCGCCTTCTTCGTTGCATCCAGAGGTATGTAAACCATGTCGTAGGAGTCCTTGAAACCATGGGCGTTGAGAACGCGGGCCAACTCCTTCGGCGAGACCGCCAGATCCAGGTTCTTGAGCCTCACGGTGGTGAAGCCGCTCAGGCCACCACCTGGGAGGAAGCAAACCATACACCTGTTACGCCGAATCTGGCCAGACCTACGGTGGGCCAAAGATCGGTGTATGCACCGTCCTGGCTTGGCCTGGAAGCTACATATGAAACAGGGTCGAGCCCCCCCAATGATAATGAGATCAGCCCCCCGCCGATATACGTGCCTCCCCCCGCCGATATACGTGCCTCCCCCTTGTGGGTGTGATGTGGTGCTGTGGATATGGGGTGGTGTGGTGCTGCGGCGCCACCACCCCTCCCCGTGAGTGTGGTGTGGTGCTGTGGTGCTTCTGAGGGCGAAGCGCTGCAAACTTCCAGTGCACGGTGAGGTGATTCGGCCTCTGGGAGGTCCAGAGGTCGTCGTCGTCGTCGACGTCGTCGTCGTCATCGTCATCGCCATCATCATCATCATCATCATCATCATCATCATCATCATCATCATCATCATCATCATCATCATCATCAGCAGCAGCATCAGCATCATCATCATCATCATCAACAGCATCATCATCATCATCATCATCATCATCATCATCATCATCATCATCATCGTCATCGTCATCGTCAGCACCATCATCACCATCATCACCATCGTCATCACCGTCATCAGCAGCATCCATATACGCATCATCATCAGCAGCATCATCAGCATCGCCATCATAATCAGACTCAGCATCACCATCACAAGCACCATCAATATAATCATCAGTGCCATCATCACCATCATCATTACCACCAGCACCATCAGATTCATCATCATCGCCACCACCATCATCATCAACACCATCGGCATCATCATCACCGCCATCATCATCATCAGCATCATCATCGCCACCACGACCACCACAACCATCATCATCACCATCATCATCATCATCATCAGCATCATCATCATCGTCATGACCACCATCATCGTCATCATCATCATCGTCGTCATCAGCATCGCCATCATCATCATGAGCAACATCATCACCATCACCACTAGCAGCAACACCACAACCATCATCAACATCAGAGAGAGCGCGTTTCGTAGACGCTTGCCTAGAACAAATCCCTTCACAAGTTGGAACCGGGGGGGGGGGGGGGCAAAATATTGAGCGCCCCTGGAGAAAACGGAGCCCCCCCCCAACATAAAACCGGCCACCAACCGGGGGGGCGTTCGAACTGGGGGGAAACCCCCCTCACCCCCCTGTCCACCTGCCAAAAGGGGAGGTCGAACTGGACCCCCCCCCTAAGTTGCAACGGGGGGAGGAGTGGCGTGGTTCGAACTGGGGTGGGGGGCCCTCACCTGTCCAGAAGGAGAGGGGGGTTCAGGCCAAGGGGGCGGCCTGAGGGAGCTGGTTCAAACAGGGGTGGGCCGTTGCATTGCGAAAGGGGAGGGGTTCGAACCAGGGAAGGCCCCGCTGCAACCGACCTCAGCGACCGCCAGCGCCAGCGCCGGCGCTGCCGGGCAGAGACGACGACGACGACGACGACGACGAAGACAACGCTGACGACGACGACGCCGACGCAGACGACGGCGACGATGCCGATGCCGATGACGACGACGACAACGGACCACAGAAGAACGGAGCCAGACGACAGACGGCGAGCAACGAACGGGCGGGTCGGGAGGAGCGGGCGGAACATTAAAATATCAAGTGCAACAAGCCGCATCGTCCAGTTGGCACGCGAGAGCCACAACGACCGTGCCTCGTCGATTGGACGGGGCCCTCACGGGCAGGTCGGCCCTGGCGGGCGGGACAATAAAACATGGATTACAAGATGCTGCATCGTCCGGCTGGCAGGCGAGAGCCCCAACGGCCAGGCCTTTTCGAGCGGGACGGGTCCTCACGGGCGGGTCGGTTGGGGCGGCGGAAAATTAACATACGCAGTAAAATATGCTGCGTTGTCCGGTTGGCACGCGAAAGCCCCAACGGCCATGCCCTTTCGAATTGGCCGGGCCCTCACGGGCAGGTCGACTCGGGCGAGCGGGATATTATAAAATGGAACACAATATGCTGCACCGTCCGGCTGTCACACGAGAGACCCAACGCCTGGCACTTTTCGAGCCGGCCGGGTCCTCACGGCCGGGCCCTCACGGGCGGGTCGGCTCGGGTGGGCGGGACACGAAAGTTTGTCCTGCATGCTGGATAGTCAGGCTGGCACGCGAGAGATCCAACACGAGAGATCCGACGACGTTGTCGTCGTTGTCGTCGTCGTCGTCGGCGTCGGCGTCGACGTCGGCGTCGGCGTCGTCGGCGTCGTCGACGCTGTGCCGTAGCCTGGGCCGGCGCTCGCCTTCGTCGGTTGCAGGAAGGGCGGGGGGGCCCTCCCTGGCTCGACCCCCCCCCTTGAGAGGAGGGGGGCAGGGGAGCCCGGCTGGGTGCGACCCCCCCCCATCCCTCCTCGTTTCTTACCCCCCCCTTGCAATTCGCGGCCCCGCCCTCCCGGTTCGAACCCGTTCCCTTGTTGAGGGGGGCCCATCCCGTTCGAAACCCCCCTGCAATTTCACAGGGGCAATCCCTGGTTCGACCCGCTATTCCCCTTCCCAGCGTCCACAGAGAGCGCTGTTTCCATCATCTAAGTAATCATCATCATCATCATCATCATCATCATCATCATCATCATCATCATCATCATCATCATCGTCGTCGTCGTCGTCGTCATCATCATCATTATCATCATCATGATCATGATCATGATCATCATCATCATCATCATAACATCATCATAATCGTCATCATCATCGTCAGCATCATCATTATCATTATCTTCATCACCATCATCATCATCATCAGCATCAGCATCCTCATCTTCATCACCAGCAGCATCATCATCATCAGCACCATCATCATAATCATAACCACAATCAGCATCATCGTCATCAACATAAGCATCAGCATCTGCAACAAAAGCAACATCACCATCATCATACTCATCATCATCAGCAGCAGCATCATCATTATCATCTTCATAACCGTCATCAGCGTCATCATCATCATCATCACCATCAACAGCAGAGTCATCATCATCAGCATCAGTATCAGCTATCGTCGACGTCGCCATCACCATTGCTACCATCATCATCACCATCAGCACCACCACCATCAGAATCACAATCATCGTCGTCATCATCACCAGCGTCTTCATCATCAGCAGCATCGTATCCATCCTCAGCATCACCATCGTCATCACCATCATCATCATCACCATCATCAGAATATTCATCAGCGGCATCATCATCACCATCAATGGCATAGTCACTATCATCATCGTCGTCAATATCGTGATCGCCATCGCCATCATCAACACCCCTGTTACCGCTTCCGTATCACCATCACCATCATCAGTATCACCATCACCATCACCATCCCCACCATCATCACCATTGTCACGATCATCACAATTATCACCATCATCACCATCATGATCATGGTCACCATCACCATCGTCATCACAATCATCACCATCATCATCAGCATCATCACAATCGTCACCACCATCACAATCCTCACCATCGTCTTCATCACCATCACCAGCATACTCGTCATCATAATCAGCATCAGCATCAACATCGTCGTCCTCATCACCATATTCAACATTACCAACAACTCCATCACCGTCACCAACAACATTTACTTCATATTCATCATCATCATCATCATCATCATCATCACTAGTATCATCATATTATTATTCGTCATCGTCATCGTCAGCTTCATCATCATCACCATCATCATCAGCAGCAGCAGCAGCAACATCATCAGCATCAGCAGCAACGTCAGCATCATCAAGAAGGGTTGCCCAAGACGCCTCCAGGGCAACCAAGATAGCCACGAAAGGGCCCACGATGTCTCCTACACGGCCAATGGTGACCTCCAGACGGCTCCAGAGAGACCTCCACCCCACCCCGAAGAGGGTTTCCAGAGGATTGCCAGGGAGCCAACATAGTTAAATGTCCAGTGGCTCTAAATGGGTTTCGCGTTCTCGTCTTTTCGAGCTTCGGCAGCAAAAGGATACCCCAAAGGCCTCCAAGATAGTTTCCAGATGTTGTTATTCACAATGGCGCCATCAATACTCAACAACACAATGAACATCAGAGAATTCGCCCGTCACCTGCACGTCCATATCTGTTTGGTTCCCGGTGCAATTATCAACTTATGTTTTAACCTGTGTTGTGTTCATGCCCACCCTAATGCCTCCCAACATTTGGTATACTCGCAAATTGCGGAATACCCCTCAATGGCCCCCCATTTCTTTTCGTATAGCGGTAGAAAAATACAACCGTGGAAACGAAAAACCCTGGGGCCGTACGTGTATATATGTAGACAGACTAGACAAACTAGACACTCCCGCGCGTGGACACCGTCAAGGGTGCTTCGGGTGTGGCGCCAGAGCGCCGCTCAGCGTGGCGATCTTCACAGCACGGTAGACCTTAGAG